TTTTTTTTTTTTTTTTAAGTTGTTTTAAATGTATCTCACTGAATTCTAACAACTGCCCTATAAAATAGGCCGCCCATATTATATTCCTCCCACTTCACAGGCTTAGAAAGGTTAAGCATATTGCGAAAGATCACCCAGAAGTTCTCATTATGTAGGACTAAAGTCCAGGTCTTCACAGTCCGGGTCAGTTCCTCTGTTAACCCCTTGTGTGATACTGCTTGTTGTGTCATTTTCTAACAATGGAAGCAGTCTCTGCTGACATATCTGTATAGTTATTTGACATTGTAATGAATGAGCAAGGAAGAGAGATTACACATCTCTCAGTAGTTAATCTCCAGGTGTCAAAGTTTTTCTGAGATTAAAGATCAAGATTTTTTTAGTGTTGCAGTTACCAAGTTTTTTCTAAACTTAACACCTTTAGATATTCAAGGTGCTATTCTTCCTGTCCTGTTACGTTTTTGTAAGGAATTAATATGCTTGTCAGATTCCTATGTACTGCAAGCTGAAGACTGCAGATAAAGGCAAGTCACTTAACCTATCTGGGCCAGCTTTCTTATCTGTAAAATGGAGATTAAAACCTCTGTTCCCATCCTTTCTGGGAGTCAGCATTAGGATTAATTAAATCCATGTTTCCCAGGCTCTTAACTTACAATGGCATTCATTCTTTGTTTTCTTTGGCTACTAGTGAGAATGTATAAGTACAGAGGGATTTCTAGTAGAGGGTACGTGGGTAGAATTTTTAAAACAATATACTTGCCCTTTATAAAACTGCAGGGTGGTATTGGAGTTTTTAATTTTGTTTTGAGGGGGATGATGGGCAGGGAGAAAGTTGGTTTAATGCATTAAAATGCATTTCACCTGATATTTGCTTTTTTTTTTTTAGTAACATGGCTAAGAAATTTAAAACTAAATGTGTGGCTCACATTTGTGCCCGTTATTATATTTCCATTGGACCGTGAACAGAGCTGCTCTTAGAGCTAGTAGGTCAGTTAGTTATTTTTAAATTATTTCTGTCAAGATCTTGGTGCCCTTGGTCTTTGGAGCAGTCTTTTCAATGCCCTGACCCCTGGGCCATTAGCCTCTCTGGTTGTAAGCAGCCTCTGTTTACCCCAGTGTGCCCTACAAATACTGTTGTTTTCTATGTGTGTGTGATGTGGGCATTGAACTATAGATTATCAAGTAGTGTTTTTCAACATTGAGGAATTCCTTATTGTTGTTGCTTATTGAAATAATCTTATGTTTTTTTTTTTTTTTGAGACAGAGTCTCACTGTGTTGCCCGGGCTAGAGTGCCGTGGCGTGGTCTTAGCTCACAGCAACCTCAAACTCCTGGGCTCAAGCAATCCTCCTGCCTCAGCCTCCCGAGTAGCTGGGACTACAGGCATGCGCCACCATGCCCGGCTAGTTTTTTCTATATGTTTTTAGTTGTCCAATTAATTTCTTTCTATTTTTAGTAGAGACGGGGTCTTGCTCTTGCTCAGGCTGGTTTTGAACTCCTGAGCTCAAACAATCTGCCCACCTCCGCCTCCCAGAGTGCTAGGATTACAGACGTGAGCCACTGCACCCAGCCTCTTTTTTTTCTTTGTCAGTCTTGCTAGAGGTTTGTCAGTTTCACTGACTTTTTTTTTTTTTAAAGAGTCAGCTCTTTGCTTTATTCCCATTTTTTTTGTTCTAAATTTTATTGATTGGTGTTATTTTCTTCCTACTTTTTGAGTTTATCTTGTTTTTTTCTAGGTTCTTCAGATGTAAGTTTGAATTATTGTTTTGATCCTTTTTATCTTTTCTACTGTGTGCATTTATGCTAAAAATTTCCTTTTCCGTGAGGTTTTAGCTGTCGCCTACAAATTTTGATATATATTTGTTTTTATTGAGTTCAGTAATTTGATATCAACTTGAGACTTATAGATTATTTGGAAATGTGTTGTTTAGTCTCCAGGTGTTTGGAGACTTCCCTTTTTCCTGTTGCTGATTTCTAATTTTATTTCATTGTGGAGAGAACACACTCTGTATGGTTTGAATTATTTTAAGTTTATTGATGTTTGTTTACTGCCCAGGACTTGGTCTATCTAAGTGTATGTTCCATGCGCACTTGAAAAGAATGTGTATTTTGCTGTTCAATGTAGCATTCCATAAATGTCTGTAGATTCTGTTGGTTAATGATCTTATTGAATTCTGTATATCCTTGCTGATTTTCTGTCCTTTGCTTCTATCAGTTGTTGAGAAAAGGTCTCCAGCTATCCTTACGGATTTATTTCTCCTTTCAATTCTGTTAGTTTTTACTTCACGTCTTACACCTATGTTGCTTGGTGCATAAGCATTTATAATTGCTATGCCCTCATGGTAGATTGGCCCTTTTATCATTATTTAATGCGATTTTTTAGCTCTGGTAATTTTCTTTGCTCTGATATTAATAGAGCTATTAATTAATAGAGCTTTTAATTTTTTTATATGATGTGTCTTGTTCCATCATTTTATTTTCAACCTGCCTAAATCATTCTATTTATAATGAGTTGCTTATGGACAGCATATAATTGGGTCATTTTTTTTAAATACACTCTGCCAATCTCTGTCTTTTAGTTTTTGTATTCAGACCTTACATTTAATGTAATTATGAATATGTTAGTACTTAAGTTTACCATTTTATTTTTTGTTTTATGTTCTATTTTGTTTCTGGTTTTGTTTTTTCCTGCTTATCTGTGGGTCACTTGAATGGTTTTTAGAATTTCATTTTGATTTATCTATGGTGTTTTTAGTGTGTCTTGTTTAGATAGCTTTTTAAGTGGTTGCTCTAGATATTATGCTAGATATACATAGTTTGTCACAGTCTACTGGAATTGTCATTTTATTAGCTCGTAAGTAAAGTATAGAAAACTTAACCTGCCTTTATGTGTCTTTACCCTCCCTCATGTATAATATAATAGTCTTAAATATTTTCTCTACTTAACATTTAGAACCACATCAGATAGTGTTACAGTTTTTACTCAACTGTTAAACATAATTTAGAAAACTCAAAAGGAAACCTTTTTGCATTTACCCATATTTTTAGTTACCTTTCTTCCTTCCCGATGTTGCAGGGTTCCATCTTTTATTGTTTCTTTTCTGTTTAGAGAACTTCCTTTACACATTCTTTAGGGTAGGTCTCTTGGTGATAGACTTTCTGTCTTGGCATGGATTTCTTTGGGTTTACTCTGGTTAGGGTTTGCTCAGTTTCTTGAATCTATAGGTTTATGTCTGTCTCTTGCCAAATTTGGGAAATTATCAGCCATTATTTCATTGAGTTGTTTTTCAGACCTGCCTTCCTTGTTCACTCCTTCCTGGACCTGATAACATAAATGTTAGCTCTTTTGTCCCATGCATCCCTTCGGTTCTATTCATTTTATTTCAGCCTTGTTTTTTCTCAGTCATTCATATAAGATAATTTATAATGTTCTGTCTTCCAGTTCACTGCTTCTTTCTCTGTCCCCTCTATTCTACTCTTGAGTTCATTCATGACCTTTTTATTTCAATTATTGTATTTTTAAATTCTGAAACATGAACTTGGTTCTTTGTATCTTTTGTTTCTTTGTGGAAGCTTTTTTCCCCGTTGGTTCCAAGTGAATTTACAATTTCTTGTTGAAGCGTTTTTACTATGACTGATAATCTTTATCAAATGAACCTTTGTAAGGTAATTTTTACATTTTTGTGATCTTAATGCTGGCATCTGTTAATTACCTTTTTTTGTTTTTATTTAATTTGAGATCTTCCTCGTTCTTGGTGTTTTCCACCAGTCACAAGTGATTTTCAGCTGGAACCTGGAAATTTTCATATTTTGTCCTGAGCCTCTGGATCTTATTTACATCCTGTGTTTTAGTTGGCTTTTTCGGACACCAGTATGGCAGGGAAAGGCAAGGTGCTACCTTTTTATTTCCAGGCCGAGATAGATGTCCAGGTACCCTACTTGACCTCTGTTGATGCTCCAGGGTATCTCCTTGTTACTGCTGGGATTGGATGGGAGTTCTACTGACTACTGGGAGTGTGGTGTCCACTGACAATACACCAAAGAGAAAGTCTGGAACCTGCAGTCTTAAGGCCACATTGGGGCCTTCTAGGTCCTTAAGTGTGGCCTTTTGACTGAATCCAAATTTTACAGAAGAAATCCTTTTATTAAAAGGGGTTCAGTAGAGAAAGATGAAGTTTTTCTTCCCTCCTTTGGTGCTTAAAAAAGAACAATCTTGAAATCAGAAGGCCATAGATTCCCCACCCTTCTCAGCCTCTGCTGGCCTGGTGGGGATGAAGGCCACATTGTTTTCTGTGGTGTTTAGCTAGAATAGAATGATTATTGTCTAAAAATTTTCTCTCTTACTAGGCTGTCTTTTCCTAATGCTTTGACATCAGAGTCTTCTTACCTTTGTTTTATGTGTACAGTCCAGGGTATTTAGTTTTACTTGGTGGGAAGAATAGGCAAAATACATATACTCAGTCTTCCCAGAAGGGAAGTCAGTTTCACTTTTGACTTTCAAAAGTGTGCCAAACGAAAGAAAGAGCAGTGTGTTAAATCAAAGATGTGTTACCAAATGTATATCTATTTTCATATAGAAACTTTCATAATTGTAAGCAAACCATTTATACCCATAAAACAAGCTATCTGTGTGGCAGCATTGACCTGAAACATACCAAGGGCTCATTTCTGTCCTTGTGGGAATACAAAAGAAACTAAATAGACTTTGTCCTCTGTGATTTCCCTTATTGTCACAAAAGACCAATGTGTATAAAATATTCAAAGGGAAATGCTAAATTGCCCTGCAAGTCTGTAAGGAAAAAAGGGGGAAATAAGTGTTATCAGTGAATATGGTCAGATTATAAACTAAATTCACTTCTTTCAGTTTTATAACTGAAGGTCCTCTTAGGGGTGGTTTATTATACAGACTTGTCACATTTAATTCAGTCATTTTATTTGAGGCCCACCGTGTGCCAGGCCACTGTGCTTAGAACTTAGGATGTAAATATTAGGAAATTATACCCTTTGCCTTTGAGGAGCTCTCAGCTTTAGTTGAAGGGTGGAAGGCAGATAAAAGAAGGCAAATCCTTAAATTTCAACAGTACAGTGTGATATGTGTTATGTTAATGGTAATTAGGCTCATACAGAAGACAAATTCTCTTAAGAATAGAGTCCTAATTAGAGGTCACAGAAGGCTGTAGAGAGATGGTGACATTCCATGTTTGGAGGATAACTAAAGATACAAAAGGAACTGGGATGGAGAAGGGCATCTCATGCAAAGAAACCCGCGTAAGGGAGCTTGGCAGAGCCTGTGGGATGTGGGGTTACATTGAGATTCCAGTGTAATAGTACGGTGTGTAACTTTATACATTTGCCAGTAACACAACTGATTATTTAAAAATATTTAGATTTCAATAATTCACACTGTTCTTTGCTATGATGCAAGTCAATGAATTCTTATTGCATTAAGATAACAAATGCCCAGAAGGTTTTTATAAATATATTTATCAATATGCTAGGGTTGTTGGTAGGTGATAGATACAGTACATGGTAAATAGATAATCCGTTCTTCACTGAGACACTGACTTTGTGTACTTGCATGTATGTACCTTGATTTTTAAAAAGTTGAGAGTAAACTTGCATGTGTTTGGCACAGAGGGAGTATAAAGTAGAGACCTTTAAAGTTCTGTTCAACTGGTATAGAAATAGTTTATTTTGCCTGGTCTTTACTGTCTTCAGCAAAAGAGATGACAACAATCATTTTCTTTGGTAACTATTATAATTTTACTTTTACTTGAAGATAGTTTTTTCTCACATACCTTTATGTTGATTATTAGAGGGGGATATGGTACCTCATTATGGTAGTGTATGTGAACATGATGTTCCTACCTGAGTTTCCTTTTCAGACTTTATGGAACTCTCTGGAAAGCCTAAAATTACATAAAAATATTGTTTTGAGTACATATTGAGCTATATATTTTGTGCGTGTGTAATATATTATATATTTTATTTATTTAGACAGAGTCTTACTCTGTTGTGTGGGCTAGAGTGCTGTGGCATCAACCTAACTCACAGCAACCTCAGACTCCTGGGCACAAGCCATACTCCTGCCTCAGCCTCCCCAGTGGCTGGGACTATAGGCGTGCATTATCACACCTGGCTAATTTTTTCTATCTTTAGTTGACTGGCTAATTTTTTCTATTTTTAATAGAGACATGATTTTACTCTTGCTCAGGCTGGTTTCAAACTCCTGAAATCAAGCAGTCCTCCCACCACAACCTCCCAGAGTGCTAGGATTACAGGCGTGAGCCACTCTCTCAGCCTCTGTTATTTATATATATATATATATATACACATTGTGTGTGTGTGTGTGTGTGTGTGTGTGTGTGTATAAAAACATAGAGTTTATATCGAGCTATATATAATAGCCTGTATTTGAGACTATGCTTGTAGCATTTTAAGGAAAATATTTTATGGTCCAGAAATTAATCTACTTTTATTTTTTATTGCAGATGGAGTCTGGTGGTACAGTTTTGAGTACCAACTGGTCTGATGTAGGTAAAAGAAAAGTTGAAATCAACCCTCCTGATGATATGGAATGGAAAAAGTACTAAATAAATTAATTTGCTCTTACTGTATTGCGTATATTCACCTAATGCCCATTGTGTATTGATATTGCATTCTTGAATTTTGAACATTGAATATCTTTTTGAAAGATTATACCTCTTTACCTCTTTGTGCTTTAAAAATTATTTTCCTTTAAGTGTTCTAAGAGTCTAATGAGGAGTGAAGATCACATTTTATCACTTCTGTCCTTAAGGATTTTAGACATGCTGAAACTGAATGAAGTATCATTTGCTACTGGATAGATTAGTTCTATCTAGTTGTGGGAGTGGAGAAATCTTTAATGATATATTTTGGATTATTGCCTTATTTTTGATGCAGTATTCTGTTAATAATTTATTAGACCTGGCAGCTTTGGATGAGCATAGATTTTTCAACTTCAGTATTATATTGTGTTTGCTTTTAAAAACTGCTTTTGAATGGAGTTGTAAATACAATTTTTCTATGAAGATGTTTGGTTTATTTACCTTTTTCTTAAGTTTTTAATGAGAACTTTGAGAAATTATTTATCATAGGGAATTCCCATTTAGTTCTTTTTATGGGAAGTATTTGTAACTTGTAATTGCACTGAGATATTTTGGTCCTTACTTTGTGAATCTCTGTATAAAACATTAATACCTGAGTTTGACACACTGCAACTGAGGATAATCTGTAAAGCTGGGGCAAAGAAGGATCTAGGAAAGCCCAGCTCCACTTATTGCTGCTTTTGCCACAGCAGGATTCTTGAAAGTATAGCATTGGGGTGGGGGGGTTTTGTATGGTTTCTTTTCTTTATTAGAAAATCTCACATCCCCATGATTGCTTGGGTTTCAGTGGTTTGTGGTAGCTGCTGTGAGAATAATTAATATGTATATATTTAGTATTTACCTTGTGCCTAGAATATATAGATACTATGGGAATACAAAGAGTAAAAGAAATGATTATTAACTTCAAAGAGTTTATGATGTAGCAGAGAGAAAATTAACATTCATGAAGGAATTATGAAATGGTCGAATGCTAAACTCACTATAAATATAGTTTTGAGACAGAAAAAAAGTGTTCTGTGATTAAAATTCTTTACAGTCTCAACTGTAATAAAGTATAGGCCATGGCTGGCCTGTAGATCTAACTTTCTGACCATAATTTTCTCAGCTATAATGCCCCAGAAATTGGTCTCTGCTTTGTTAGGTGTCACTAACATTTTTGTGGTGAGACACTACTCTGTACCCTCAGATCTGAGGGTAGAGTGAATGGAAGGCAAATTGCCATCATTTCAACTTTTGGAAGAGTAGGAATTCAGGTCTTCCTTCTAGGCCTTTGATATGCGTTGTAGGGGAGTTCGTTGTAGGGGAGTTCCTAAAGAAAGTGGCAGTGCGGTGATACCAGATAGTGCCCAAACCTGTTGGTAAAGCTTATTTAAGCATGCTGAAGTTTTCATTTGTCCTTCTGCCCACTTAGAACTACAAGGTACTTTCTTTGTTCTTGAACACTGAAGAGAAAGGCAAAATTAAGTTCTTGCTAGGGTAGATTTCTAAAATTTTCTTTTTAGGAAAGCGGGATAGTGACTTTTGTATTCTGTATGTTGAATTTTCTCAGTACCATTCATCTTAAGCGAGGGTGGGCTGGGGAGACTGTTGGTACAGAAGCAAAGTTATGTGCAGCACTACACCGAACACAAGAATCCTTAGCTCTGGCACATCTCTGTCACTAACTAGCTTTATAGTCTTCAGCAGATTTAGACCATTACGTCTTAGTTCCTTTATAATCTATAGGGTCTTACAGTTAAAAGTCCATATTCTAAATAAGGAAATATTTTTGTCACTTTTTCTTTCTTAAAAGTGACACTATTAAAATAGAAGTTTTTTTTAATCTACTACTTTTGCTTGTATTTTAAAGAATCCATTATCTAGAATATGCTTACTTCCTGGCTAGAGTTGCTTAGTGTTGTGGGATTCTGGAATTTGCTGGTCTAAATGGAATTACTAATATATAGGACAAAAAGCATTATAAAATGCACCTGATTTTAAATACATTAGATTTATAAATCTAGGGAATTTTGAGAAGAAGGATAGATTGCTGTTCAAAAGAACTAAAGTACTACTTCTGTTTCACCATTTTAAATAATGGAAATTTATAAGCCTCCAGAAAGTTAACAAAAAGTTCATTCTGATTAAGAGTCTCTTAACTGTACCCTTGTTCTCTGCTATCTTAATGTAGCTATTAATTGGTCTCTCTTTCCAGTTTTCATTTCTCCAGTTTTGGTTGTCTTAGTGCTCTAGTTAGCCTTTTGTTTTTTCAAAATGTGCATTGTTTTCTCTTAGCGTTTCTTTTTAAGATTTAGTCCTGGAATACATTTTTCTCTTAATCTTAGAGACTTCGTCTGCTCTGCTTTCTGTAATAATTTGCAACTTAATGACTTCCCAGAATTCTCCCACTTTCTTCGAAGAATCTTGAATGGGATAATCATCTTTGAACTCTGCTATCTAGTAATCACTTTTGAGAGCTGTACTGCAGGTTTGAAACATCAAGGTCAATTTTGATAATTTCCTGTCTTAAGTCTTAACACCCGTTCAGCATTGGCACTTTCCACTTTTTAAAGATAATCTGTTTTCTCTGTCTTCATATGGAATAGAGAGAGAGGATGGCTTGCGTTAACTACAATTTTTTTTTCAACATTTTCCTTCTTTAGATCTGTGATATTCACAAATTGCAGAACATTGAAGCATTATTGTTATTGTCTCCCTAAGTCTGGAAAAACTTCATATTTTCTTGCCAGGCTGACTGTATAGGACAAGAGAGAATAATTGGACTAGCATAGGTAAATTTTCTAGGTGAATTTCAAATAAACATTTTCAATGGATATCTATCACTATGCTATTATGAATGGTTTAGATAGAAATTTTAATGTTGTCCACTACTAACATATTTTTGGCTATTCTTTCCCATTTTACTTTCCTCTTCCCCAGTTACCACATATCAGATTAGGTAGTTGATCTCTGAAATAGGTCACGGACCCAGAGTAAAATTGTGTATTAATTTACCATCTGGTCAGCCTAATGTACTTTAATTCCTTTGGGATCTTTCCTGTCCAGATTAGTGTGCATCTCTCTGACTCGTGGCTATTACAGATACTACCAAAAATAGTTAGAAAATTTCTGGGTGGTGTGTTTGTTTTTGTTAATTACTGGAGCTACTTATTCTTTGTAGCTCCTAACAAGTGTACCTTCATGCTCACCCTACTACTGCAGCCACAGAAGAATATGGTTTCAGGTTGGGCGCGGTGGCTCACACCTCTAATCCTAGCACTCTGGGAGGCTGAGGCGGGAGGATTGCTTGAGGCCGGGAGTTCAAGACCAGCCTGAGCAAGAGTGAGACCCCATCTCTACAAAAAACAGAAAAAACTAGCCGGGCGTGGTGGCGCACACCTGTAGTCCAGCTACTTGGGAGGCTGAGGCAGGGGAATCACTTGAGCCCAGGAGTTTGAGGTTGTAGTGAGCAATGACGATGCTCCTGCACCACAGCCAGGGTGACAGACCTTGTCTCCAAAAAAAAAAAAATGGATTTCAGTTATTTTTGCTTAGAGGAATCAGAGCAGAAAGATGAAAAAGGCTAAAAGGACAATATACTGGTTTCTGTGCAAGGAAGGATCATATGTAGTTTTAAATAACAGGAATCATATATTTTGATCTGGTTTCCTTTGTCTCCAACCGTATGTTTCTTTTTTTTTTTTTTTAATTGTAAGATTATTTTACACATACCAAGAGATTTTATTGTGGGACTTTGTGAGCAAATTGGAGATACTGATTTTACCCACACATGGTACTGTTTGGGACCATTATCTAAAGCCATATCACTCTGAACGTGCCTGATCTCGTCTGTTTGGGGCCATCTCTGTGATTTGCTTCTGAAATTAATTTAACTCTTAGCTTCTTTTCCTACCTTGTTGAAGTTGTACCCCAAAGCAGCTAAAATCATACACATTGCTAACCCACTAAAGCAAACAGTGGTAGCCACTGTGTACTAGCTTTTTAATGGACCGGGTAGCAGTACCTCATTTATAATAGCCCTTTGAAGTAGTGATAGCATCCCATTACTGCACATAAGAAAGATGAGGCCAAAGTTAAGTTCTTTGCCCCAATTCACTCCACTGGTAAATGATGGAACTACTTGTGATTGTCTCTTCACATGAGTGAATTGGGTGTGCAACGAATGATTTTATTACTAAATCAGCATCTGAAAATGAAGTTGACAATGTGCGAGTTGGAAGAATTATTTAATTTTTCTTGTACATGAGCTGGGAAGGTATATTCCTAAAGATTAAAATATTATCCTCACTTTCTTAAGTAGGAAAGCTTATTAGGAATCCAAATCTTTTGCCTCTTACAGAAGGTGATGCAAATAAGTAGTCTGATTTGTGTTGAAAGTACTGTTTTTCTCAAATCCAGATCAATACAGAGTAACAGGATACCCTTAAAAGCTGTTGGCAGTGTAAGACTGGCACATCATGCTGATCAAATTCTTGTTAACTTGGGATCTCTCATACCTGTTTTCATTGTACAAATGCTGAGATTGTTTCAAGGTTTTATTCCTAGAGACATTATGCTAGGATTTGTGTATCACTGATTTCTTCAGTAAAATTTGAATGATTTAGGTCAATTCCTTTTTCCCAATCATGTTACATTTTGTATATGTATTCTGAATTTTGGCTTGTCTGGAGTCTTCTAAATATTACCTTTGCTGTGCCTTCAAATTTGTATTTTTAACTTTTATAGTCGTACTTGTTTTATTTAATTTTTATTTTTTGTTGTGATTCCAGGATTCACTTATACAAAAAGATGTTTCAACAACACTAAGATTTGCCTAAGGGCAATTTTTAGTTTATCAGAAAAGAATTAGGAAAATGGTCCTTAATGCCTGTATGTGGGTTTTTAAAAACTGTACTGTACAATGCAGCCACAGAAGCTCTAAATAATAACAATACTATTGCACATGCTATATACTTATTGCTTTAGTTAAGCATATTAAAAGGCAGTATTGCATTGCGGTTA